AGATTTTGATATTCCCACATACCATCCTCTCAGCAGCTACAGCAAACAGCCTCTGCACAAAGGACACCACCACTGCTCTGCTTATGTTACACAGAAGTTACTCATGTCTCACAATTGTACTGATCTCAGATATTTCAATCATCTGTGTGGCAATCAGTGATTTCATGGAAATGTCAGTGATTTCATGTGGAAATCAGTGATTTCATCTCTGTGATTTCGTGTTATAAAGCACCCTTTGCCCAATGAGCTTTACCTCCCTCCCCTCCTTCCACTCCCCAATAATATCACTGTAAGGTACAATCTTCCAAAACATACCCTAAATAAATACCTGTATACAAAATATCCAGGCTATCAACTTTGCACCAGTCTGAAGTGTTTATACCAAGTAGAATCAAGACACTGGGAGGGTTGGGAATTCAGGGGAGAGAAGTATCTATAAAGGATACTATCCCCTACTAAACCTCTGACTTGACTCTGTCTGTGTTGCATTTTTAATGTGGTGCCCATTTGCAATAGAGAACAGGACTGCGATGTGCACCTCTCTGGGAACCAGGAAAAAGCTGCTGCCTAGTCAGGCACAGAAAGAGGCTCGTGGGGGAAGATTTGTGACTATTACACTGTGACACTTCTACACCAGCTGTCTTTAACAAGCCAATAATCCACTCCTGAACATAAGCTGAGCATTTAGCACAGCCTGGCTGACGTGCACATAACTCACAAAGTCAAACTGCCATTAATATAAGCACCAGAGCAACTGAAATCAATAAAGGGAATTAAAAACAACACTGAAAAGAAATTATTTGCCTACCTGGTCATCATCATAATTAGGATCCTTAATATCTACTTCTTCCACATCATACACTTGACCTGGTGTTCCCCAAACACCTTTACCACCTGCTCCACCTGGCAAAATATGGGACAGTAAGCAAGGACCACTAGTTTACAAAGAATACTTGTGAGTTCAACCCAACATTCTTTCACTTGAGAGTGATGCATACGCTGAAAAGAGTGTGCTTTTATCATGTGTTCCCACTTCAGCAACCAGTCTTTTCACCACTTCCCAGTATGATACTAGAAGCAGTATGAAACTGCACAAGAATTGCTGAAGGTTGAACTCTGTACTTTCAAATATAACCATGCTTTAAGTTTGTGTTAATAACAGTCCTGTGAATCACCAACAGTTCAAGTTTGCATATGAAATTTGTGAAGAGAGAAGTTAATGGACGATACACATACAAGATTTCCTGATAAAAACACCTACTATTGGCTTCTATCGCCATCTACTATCTAACATAAAGAGCCAAATACCTGCATACTACTTCATACAGAGACTGTGGGTTATGAAAATGATTCCCAGTGGAAGAAAAAGACTATGTCTCGGACAGAATCTTTATCATGCTACTCTCTTCGCTAAGCTACACCAACCTTTCTTTGGTAGACCTCTTCCCTTGCCAGACCGGGATCTCCTGTCCAGGAGTTTCCCCTTTGGGCTCGTTGGTGCAGCTCCAACCTTCAGCGTCTCTCCATTGTCACTAACAGAGTCTCCTCTCCCAGAATCTCTGGAAGAGTTTTTCCTCAAGCGCCTCTTTGCTTTAGCGTTTATTTTGGCCTCAGTAATTGAAGTTGCAGGAATCCAATTCCCGTTGATTTCAGTCTTTCGTTCCTCAGACCCACCATTTTCTTCATCACCGGAAAACGGAGCATCACTCAGATTCTCAAGTTCTTAAAAAGGAGACAGAGCAAAAAGAATCCAATATAATCACAGAATCATAGAATAGTTAGGGTTGGAAAGGACCTTAAGATCATCCAGTTCCAACCCCCCTGCCATGAGCAGGGACACCACACACTAAACTATGTCACCCAAGGTTCTGTCCAGCCTGGCCTTGAACACCTCCAGGGTTGGAGCATTCACAACTTCCTTGGGCAACCCATTCCAGTGCCTCACCACCCTCACTGTGAAGAACTTCTTCCTTATATCTAACCTAAACTTCCCCTGTTTAAGTTTAAAGCCATTACCCCTTGTCCTATTGCTATAGTCCCTGATGAAGAGTCCCTCCCCAGCATCCTTGTAGGTCCACTTCAGATATTGGAAGGCTGCTCTGAGGTCTCCACGCAGCCTTCTCTTTTCCAGGCTGAACAGCCCCAACTTTCTCAGCCTGTCTTCATACGGGAGGTGCTCCAGTCCTCTTATCATCCTCGTGGCCCTCCTCTGGACTTGCTCCAACAGCTCCATGTCCTTTTTATGTCGAGGACACCAGAACTGGACACAATACTCCAAGTGAGGTCTCACAAGAGCAGAGTAGAGGGGCAGGATCACCTCCTTTGACCTGCTGGTCACGCTTCTTTTGATACAGCCCAGGATACGGTTGGCTTTCTGGGCTACAACAGTTTTATGTTAGAATACCAAAACACACTGTATTTAAAAGGAATTACAATATTAAACAGAACTCTTATTTCCAACAGCCTTAAGGCAAATAATGTTGTTTTTGAAGTATGTCTACACATCACAGGCATAAGGAGTCCCTTATTCCCCCGCACAAACCATCCACAATCTAAACAGAACATATGTCAAGAGTTGGAAAGCAAACGAAGAAACCATTTATAAACAGGTAAACCACAGAAAACCCCACCCTTGTTAAACAAAAACTATCAGAAGTCCTCAGTGCAGAAGCTCCAAGTGCCTAATTCTCACTCCACCCACTCAATTCTTTAGATACAAACAAAACTGCCAATACAGTAAGTTCTGTAAGAAGTCGCTAATGTTAACAGACTAGTCAACACCGTGAAATTAATCTCCTAAATCATCAACCAACATTCTCCTCATTGAGGGAATTTCAAACACAGATCACCAGCTGGTAAAGCAGTAATTTAGACTTACAAGAACACAAAAACATCACTATTTTTGGTTTTTGTGTTTAAAGTTATGAAAGAAAAAAGCTGTTCAATCCAAAGGCTGGGGAGTTCAGTAACAAAGACTCAGATAGTAAATGAAGTCTTTTGAAACAGAGTGATCTCTCTTCTTCTCTATGGATTGCCCCTCACTGTAGCTTCTATAAAGATGGTTTCTAAATCAGCCACGGTTTATTCCCTGGCACAATCATATAGTAGGTTTGTTTCATATACAGTAGCTCTGTTCAATACCCAACAAAACGCTCTCTCACAACTTAAGGAACTGCGAGTGTCTCAGAGCACTGAGAAGTGCAACCATTTCACTCTTTCAGGAAGTTAATGCACATTTAAAAATTGGATCTAAAGTCTTTCATTTCACAAAGGTAGGATCTCCCCCACCTGAGCTAGATGGTTCAGCATGTGCTCTTTGCTGAGGCCTGCACAAACATGCATTATGAGCAAAAGTCTTTGTAGGTTCTTTTTACCCTTCTTAACCCATCAAGATAGAAAAAAGCACCTGGAGACCTATTGACATCCCAGTTAGTACCCTGGTTGTTCTTGAAAATCATAAAACACACACACACAAAGGGAACAGCCTCAGCTCTGTTACACAGCCCTTTTTTTCTTGAGGATCCAGGAGTCTCAAAATACAACCTACAGCCCCAACCCTAGGAAGTGCTGTGATGAGGCACACAGAGAAAGCTGCTTTTCCAGCTGTGCCAAGCCTGCTTTACAGAAAAGCTGACTGCCATAAACCCAGAATACGAAGAGCATTTTGACTGTATATTTTAACTTAGCTAAATGTATTACTTCACATTGCCAATACATTCTAATTAGCAATGTCCAGTTGGCAATACTTCTCAGAACTGTTTCTTCATCCAAAACAGGTTCATGAAACATTTTTTGGAAAGCAAAGGGCACTAATAAAACATTTCTAACCTCAAAGTATGTACCTATATCGAAGAGGATACTACACTACAAAATGAAGAAAGTTTGAAGCAGCTGCTTCCTTCCTGATCAAAGAAACAACATTTAGATGCTAGTGTTCACAGATGTGAATGCTATAGCTGAACAATAATGCAGCCATTCCAGTCTAAGCTTCATTTTTCCACTCATTACTCCCACAAAAGCATTCCTTTTACGCTTGCAGCGAGCTAAAAAAGAAAAGCATGCACCATGCCCAGGAAAAGATTCCCCACAACAAGCTTTCTCAGTTTGTCTAACATTTTAATAAAACAATGAGAGATTTGCATAAAGCTAGCAGAGAGGGGGAAAAAAAAAAAAAAAAGGCAAAGCCAAACAGTTTTCCTTCCTCTCATTCCCTGGGGAGACCCCATGAGCACAATCAGCTCATCTCAGAGAAATGAATTTAAATTCTTCTTCATGTCCACTCTCCCATGAATTTTCCAGTTTAGACCTGCCACCTGGCTCTCCAGGAACTACACTTTTCAGTGATCACTTCTCAGTTTCCAAACAAAATGGCCAACCATTAACACAAGTCAGTCCTGAATGTGACGACTCTTGCAAGGGGAGGCTACAGTCCAACCTCCTTACACAATCCTGATCTCAGGTTCAAAGACTAAAGGAAATCCTCCACAGGAAACATCCAACCCCTAAGACTGCATATTTCTCACTGCACTACTAAATTAGTTTTTTATATAACACTATTGCTTCCAGCTGCAATGTCTTTCTTCATAGTAATATAAACAACTGTCCTTCCACTATTAGTTAGCTCAATGGGCTGAAAAACTAGGTTAAACAGATGTGCTAGTATAAAAAGTACATAAAAAATGATGCAGATCTTCTTTCTCCTTCATATACACATATATAAGCAATAACAGTGTTCTATAAACTTTAAGACTTTGCTTACTATGTATTAAAAAGTTATCCAAATTTCTCTTATTACCCTGCTACCAAGCCTAGCAGGCACACCTAAAACATGTTTTTTCTGGTGCTTAACTAACAAAGCATCCAGCAAGTACTTACCTACACACTCATTTCATTTGACCAAATTAGGTCAGTTTAGACAACTAGCAGTTTCCTACCTATGATCCAAATATAACTCTAAAATGCTGAGAAGCAACAGATCTACATTAAAGTAATCCAGGTTTAAAATAAGAGGTCAGATGGAACATGTGGACATTTCAACTGCATTACACACCATCTTAACATATATATGATTTTTTTTCCCCCCTGAAAAACCTTTGAAAGCTACAAAACCTCTCAGGTAGAAAAAGGTCAGTGCAGATCATCACAACCTTTGGAAGACACAGAAAACAACATGAAACTGTGTTAACTTGACTAAGCGTCATAAAAGGCATCTGTGATATACACAAACCAGTCAATTTCAGCACAATCTCTAACACATACTCAGTACAGTTTCCCATGCCAGGCCACTTCCAGCGCAAGCCTCTCACCATTTGTTTGCTCTAATTTTAAACTTAATAGTTACATAAAAGCAGAATTTGTACCTCTCAAATGCACCTACACATTTTACCTTTGAGTTTATTCTTTGCTTCACACCAGGACTACATGAAGTCAGATGATAAGGAGTCCAGAGTCACTATTATTTATTAAGAAATGTTAACTTTCTGATCTTAACAGTTTTTGAAATCAATGTAATCAAGCAGGATACTCTGGTACAGAACTGAAAAACAATTCTGCAGATTTCTGATGAAGATTTTTTAAATCAGCACTGTTAAAAAATTAAGAGGTAATAAATTCTTTCTACAGAGACACACTTCAGGTCAGCTAAGCAATTTTAAGTAAAAAAATACTGAAGATATTGCTTACCTGTTGGGGTAGTAGAAATGTGGTCCTTTTCTAGTTCCATAGTTGCTTAACAGAACTGACTGTGAAATGTAAAGTCTTTAGTGCTTTCCCTCCAAGGCCTAAAGAGAAACAGAGAAGTTTAGGGGAAGAAAAGCACTAGACCAATTTTAAAGTAGTAAAAAGCTGCAAAGGCCTCACTCATAAAATACAGTGCAAAAATAAGGGTTAAGTTACAATTAACTATTAGCAATCACTGAAAATTTCCTGGGAAGGTAAATGGTGCAACATGAGACAGCACCACTCTCAAACACACCTATCTAAGCCTTGATGTCTTAGCAGCTGTCAGTTCTGTTGCTTATAAAGGAGAGACCAGGAGAAAAGCCCTCTGTATGCAGCTTTTTTCAGTCGATAAAAGCAACCTCTATCCACTTAGATTGTCCTAGTCTGCAAAGTGATAACCTATATGAGCACACAATATCAATGTTATAATTGCATCCACAACAGAAATGTTCTTCACATGAACTACACTGATAAAATGGTACAAATTTATCAAGTTCAGACCAGCCCTTAGAAGGCAACCCATTTTTCATCCCTCCCTTAAGGACACAGTCTTTATGCTTTACTGTATGTGTACATACAGCAGTCAAACTTTCACATCTTGCTTCTGCACCACCCTTCAAACACTCCTTGCAACTACCAATCAACCTGCAAGGGACAAAGTTGAACACTTGTGCCACTCTCCCTCCTAGCAGCTGCTAACCTCCAAACCACCCCATGTCACTGTGAAGAGATGGTATCATCCATCTTTCCTTCATGTACACAAAAAATTAAGCAGCCCCAGAATTCCTCATACACTTTTTCACCTGCAAGACTTTCACGCATCACTTTGTAGTCCTGTGAGTATTACTGGCCTTTGTGCCTGCCCTGAAGAATACAGTGGCTTCCCCCCCACCCCCCCACCTTTTTCCCCCTTCGCTGCCCTGAAGACATCTTACCGTTTATGATACCAAATATCAGTGCTCCCTTCCCCTTTTCTTCTCTTCCCTTGTTTTCCTCTCTTATGGCCACTTGCCTACCACAGACCTATTAACTGCAAATGATTCATCACAGACCGTTGGCAATAAAAAACCTCTAGTTTAGGGCACAGTACCAAGCTGTCATGATCTTGCATTTCATAATGGCAACCCAAACAGTTAACAGCTTTGTGTAATAATGAGTCCTCCCTGCACCACACCATTTCTTTTTAGTAAATGTTTTTCCTGAGTTACCTCAACCGATCATCCAGGAGTTCTCAAGTGGTTCCAGTCACTGTTGGTTGAGAGATCTTTTTTTTCCTGTATGGATCTCAGACTAATCTGAGCAAACTACCTTGTAAGAACAGTTTTAGTCTTCGTAGTGGAATGTTCCATCAGTTGTCCACCTCTTTGAAAAAGACAACAAAGGACAAAAACCTGTATTAAATAACAATCATTACTTTCATCATTTGTAATCAAATCCTAAATTTAAAGTGGAGAAATACTTCTTCCATGTAAGATCCTAGCTGAAATTCTCCACCTATGGTAATGTCCTAAGTAACACCACAACTTCCATATGCTGTCTTTTTGACACTCAGCACCCTGCTTTGTCTGTAACGAGGATGATGGAATATCTGGGCCTTACAATTCACTTTGTCATACTGATCAGGAGACACACTCTCAATTTAGCAATGCACCCTCTCATTAACTCAAGCCAACAGGTCTGCTGGGGCTTCAGGATGCTGCTATTTATCACTATAGCAAGAACACCATCACTTCATATTTTTCAGAGTTATGACAGTTACAACCCTGAACTTCTGATTTAACTACAGAACACAGTTTGAAAACATGCATTAAAAACATCAGAACAGTCCCAAAATTTCACGTCAGAAGAAATAATACAGGAACAAAACAGAGTTCAAGTATCTAGAACACAAAAATGCTGCGAGCGACCTTAAGATTAGGCAGTGATACAAACAGTACTTTTAAAAC